TTCATGGAAGTTCACTGCCATTCTGAGCCTCAGAATGTCTGCAACAAAGTGGGAAAAAAATAACAAAACTCATGGATGGCTTCAGCAGAATAAAACTGTTTGCCTTTTTATTAATTTATTTTTTATTTGATCTTCTTCCTGTGTGTTTTTTTTTAGTAAATAACTATGTAAAGAATGAAAGTGCCCAATGTTCACATCTATACAAAGAACACACTGCTGAACTCTCCTTTTCCTCCCAGCCCACAGCAGCATCACTCCTCCGACAGACACCCTCTGTGCACCTCAGCTCTCAGTCCAGCCTTGTGCAACTTCAGCAGGGTGGGTGCTGCTTCCCCTCCTCCCCTTGCTGGACACCCAGGTACAGAAAACCAAATAAAAATAGTCACTACCTTCACAGAATTTTGATAATAGTGTTCTGTAATGACTAAGCAATCAGTTTTGACGTGCAATGCAAATCTGAAGTTAAAAATACAATTTTCCTGCGACGTTAATTATGAATCATTAGAAAGAATGAAATAAAAGCTCCTAACACGTTCCTCTTAGCTTTTCAGAGCAAATATGAGAAATAAAAATCACTTTAGAGAACTGTCACAACGTAGCAGACATTTGATGACTTTTTTTTTTTTCTAAGTAGTCTAGCGACGCCTGTAAATCATTTTCTTTTGTTGTTGCATCTGGAAGTACCACAAGCTAACAGATATAAATTACCTTAGTGGCTACAAATATCTTCTGAAGTATATTAAAACTACCAGGTATAGACACACATTTCGTTAGCATGCTAGTGATGAAAATTTGAAAATTGAAAAAGCACTGATCAGATACAACTAGACAAAATAAAAACAGAGCTTGTTTGCATGTGTACTTACATTTAGATATGTTTTATAGGCTATTTAATAATAATTTAAGTTATACCTTTAAATTATTATTATTAGATGAAAGTACTGTTGTACAGCTGTTACTCTCCAGTTACAGAAGATTCACTTTTTTCACATCTTCTAAAATCCAAAGAGAATTAGTGATATCTTTTTCTCTCTTTCTTTCAAGTCACCCAAGAAAGACTGATGTTTCAACAGCACCAGTCAGGGTTGTATTTTTGGTGGCTGCTTTTCCTTAGATCAACAAGAGAAAGCAGAAATACTGATATATGCTTCTCAGCACCATGTCTGAAATCATATATCTGAGTTAAAACAATTAAGTTAAATTTTACTTTGAATAGAGAAGAAATTAAATACATTCAATTTGGGGAAAAAAATGAATTGAAAGGGAATTGAAAGGAAAGACAAGGTGCATAGTATCAGTAACCTGTGACATTCTCAGACACAAATATCAGAGAAGTTGAGATTTAAGGGATTTCTAATCTCTAATCCCTTTGGATTAGCGCCAGGGAAAAAAATCATGAGATTATCCCAAGTAGAGAAGAAAGAATTCAGTAAGAGGATCTACAAAGCCCAGGTGAGTCTGACCCAGCAGAGCCGTGACCCTCCCCACGTGAGCCAGCTGCTCTCATCTCTTCTGCGAGACTGCACTGCTCCTCTGGATGGGACCATGCTGCCAGCAACATGGTCTGAAGCTTTCAGAAACAAATCCACTGTATGCAAGCAGTATTTACTGCAAACACAACAACACTACTTGCTCGTATTGACAAAACAAAATAGCAATGTTTGCATGGGAATGTTTGCAAATTATCACTGTCACAGTCTATAGACTGTAGCAGGCAGAGAGATGCTGAGCAAGACAGTAACACATTTTAACTCCACTCTTCCAAAACCCTCCAGGTCAGACCCCAGGGGCTAACCTAGAATCAGCTCCCACCTAAAATCCCCCAATGTCAGGACAAGTGACACTGTCAGGCCTCACAGCTCATGGAGGTGCTGCTCCGTGGAGAGCTCCAGAAAGTTCCTCTTGGGGTGAGACAGGTCCCGGTACGTGGGAAATGTCTGGTGCCTGATGCTCTCACAGACGTCCCTGCCCACCAAGGCCACCAAGGGAACGTCTCTTGTGTGCTCTAGAAAGGGAGGCAAGACTGCTTATTCTCATTTCAGAGTTATGAAAGGACTTAAAACATGTTGCTCCAAAAATATAACCTGTATCCTTCTCAAGTGATGCAATTAGCATAGCTTGTTGACTGATTTCCCTTTCCATATACATACGAAGCAATGTTACCCTACTCAATATTCCTCAGTAAGTACTCATCTCACTCTGACTCCCAGAATTAAATATCATTTTAATAATCATCTCAGTAATAAACACTGTTCCTCTGCTTTAAAAAATTCTTTGACCTCTTCATGAGCTTGTTTACCCCTTTACTTTTTGCTCTGGTGCAATTTTTTGACTTCAACAAGAATGGTGCAACATAATGGAAAATCAGGACCAAATAATAGATAGTATATATAGTATAATACATTAAAAGAAAAATATCTCTTTTAGTATTGCTGCACTTTTGACTGGAAGAGATAAAACAATATGCCTAGTGCAGATTGCCCCACGAAAACCTCTCAGAATGAATGCAGTGTAGATGCAACTTGTGTGAGGTGTTACAGTAAGTGGGGAGGTAACATGTGCTGACAACACACTTAAAAAGTTGATTTTCTTTAGAGAGAGAGATAAGCCTTTCTAGATTTCCTTAATTTCTCATTCAGCTTCAAGTATAACATAAAAAAAGGATTAATAAGCGTGTCCTGCCCTTTCCCACTGTCAGTTCACATTTACTAATTTATAAGAAATAGTTTACCTGTATTTAAATGGAAATTACCTGACTCAAAACCCAGCCTCCCTGTGAGCTTAAAGCCTAGGCAGCCTCCACTGCCATGATAACCAGTGGGAACACAACAGCAGCCTGAAATCAGAAACAGTTTTCTACTAAAATCTCATTTTATCATGTTGTAACACCTCCTTGCTCTCCAGAGTAAATTACCTGGAGAGAGTGCATTAAAAGAATTTCTGGGTACTGTATAGGAGAATAATAATGGCAATTTCATAGTGATTTCACACTATTACGCATGTACCACACAAGAAAACTATCACAGCAAAATCCAATTTGTTACTTTTCCAGAACTGAATTTTACTGCTTTTTGGTTTGCAATTAGTTATTATGAAAGTTTAATCAAAGTCTCAGTTTCCTCTTCCTCTCTAAATGTAGCACAGTCAGAATAAGATGCAACCAATAATTAAGTAAATTGGACTTGGCCTGGAACACAGGAGATTGAGAATAATTTGTAAGTATTACCCATTAGCAACTTGTATTTTCATACACTACCTTAAATTGGTTATTTTTAGAAGAGATAATATTTAAATGTGATTAGGAAATAAAAGCATTTCTTCATGTTTATTTGAATGATAAATTCCTTCCCCTGCACACAGGGATGCCTGCACTATGATTTGAAGGGAAGCTGTTGTTCAAGTAAGTGGAGATTGATCTGAAAGATATAAATGTAAACAGGAAAGCATCACAAAATAACAGTCTGATAGGATGGGGCAGAATCTTTTCAAAAGCAGAAAAAGCATCATGGATACAGTGAGAATGGGAATAGAAATATCTAAAGCAATAGCAAAACTGAAGACAGATTTGGGTCTATCAGACCGTAGGAGAGGAAACAGTAGGACTGAAAAGAATATTTCAAATAGAAATTACATAGAAAATACTTCAGCAGTGGTTGGCTGGTTGCAGTTCCAGCACTTCTTTCTCAAGAAGGAACCTGGTTCATCAACCAGATAATGATGCTCACAAGTGCTGTTCAGTCAATTCACATCCTGTTCTGCACCTGAACAAGTTAAGAATTGAGGTGTAAAACTGAAATGTGTTAAGAATTTTGTCAGATGGGGTGAGAGCTTGAAAACACAGAGTCCATGATGTCAGGTGTCCTGTCCCACCCAGCAGCTAATAGTTGCATAAGTTTATAACCTAAACAACGATTAGGTGTTAGGTGTCCTGTATTTTATATTGTAGCCCAGTGGTTGAGCCATGCCCTAGGCAAATGCTGGGCTCCGATTCAAAGGATCCCTCCACCAAAGGAGGTTTAAGTTTAACCCCCAAATCCCAAAACATCCACAGCAACGAAATCCTATCCGCACCCCACCTCACAGGCCCCCAGCCCCAGGACACCGTGGTTTTGGCCTCAGCAGCCTGATGGTGCTTTCTGAGCCACTTCCATGGGAGGATTGCCAGCAAATGACATCCACTGCCACCAGGTAATGGAAGACTGTCTTGTTCCTGCAGTGAATTTATGCAGGTTTATGCAACAAGCTGAGTATACTGGAGTTGTTTTGCCAGGCATAGAATCATAATTCTGGGTTCCTAGAAAACATAAAAAAGTAACACAGCAGATAAACAGTTTCTGTAAATAAGTGGTAACCAATGCATTTTGGGGTTAGCAACTTTTGATTTGAACTTCAATTCCATCTCGGCTCAGTTTTTCATGTTGACTGGAAGTACACTGGATTTTGTTTCACAGAATATGCACTGAGCCATTGAAGAATAGCATTCTGAAGATAAAAAACAGAAATATTGAGATTAACATCACCACAAAGAGAAGGGTTTCATGTGCTCTCTGCTTTGCCTTAATGGTTGGTGGATTAGAAGACTACCCTTACACTCAGAGCTGCTAGCTTTGATGTGTATTTGCTCAATATGTATGAAACCAGACTGATCATTATGGAGCTCTGCTATTTCAGTCCAATTCATCCCCGTCTAAAAAAGTCTAAAAAATGACATGATATTGTGACTGTATTTCAGACACACACCCCCAGATATATAATTTGGAAGGAACTGAGGACAGCTAACTAGATTCCTGTATCAACCCTGCAAGTGAAACTATGAACTAAATTTTTGGCACTCCGTGAAGTTACAAAAATAATAAAGTAATCAGTTTGTATCTTATGTTTTATACTGCTATTTTAACATCGAAAATAGAATTTTATTATTCACTCACAGTGCACAAGAGTCACAAGGTTACATTTATGCCTGCACTTCTAAGCTTCAACAACAGTAAAACAGTAGTGAATTGTACTGTTGCACAAAGATAAAACCCCATGGTCACTTCGCTATATTAGCATTTTATTCTAAGGGTGGAATTAATTAATAGAGCATTAGAGATACACCAAATATATAAAAGGTTAAGTGGAAAGAATGGAGATTTCATTCAAAAATTCCAAAGCAGTTTAAAACCAGAGAAGTACAAAGGTGCATAAGCCCAGTGTTTTAACTGATACTGCACCACCGTGGGGCAATGACAGAAACACAGGACTGAGAGCCTGCAATTTTATTTTTCTTGCTTATTGTAGCTTTGATGGTAACATTCTTCAGATTTTTATAACACTGGCTATTTTTTATTTCCTGCGCAAAACACAGGTAGGCTTTAATCGTCATGATTATCCTGAAAAATGAATACTCACTCAAAGAAGAAAGCTATTATTACAGCTCGCTTGGTCAGCTGAGGTCACAGTGTGGGAGGATTCTGAGTCGAGGCAATTGCAAACGCTGCGAGCAGGGAGGGAGAGTCCACTGTGTATTGTGCAAGATTGAGTGCATCTGCCCTACGCTTCTCGATCAACAATAGAATAAGGGAATGAAATGTGGTTAACAGAACAAAAGTGGTCAACAGAACAATGTTGGGAAGTGTTATTCCAGAAATATCCAGGATCCTCCTTGGCTTTGAATTGCAAGGAAGCACTTTTACATTTCCAGAGCAAAAATAACTACTGAAATGTCAGAATTTCTGGTAGGACACAAAATCTAGATTTCACTCTGATTGTTAAGGGTTATTTGTAGAAAAACTTTAGTTGTTGATGGGTAAGAAAACCCACACTAGTACTGACAGTGATACCAGTTTATATACATCTAGTCTCTTGCTAGTGGAATCTATTAAAAATAGGTAAGTTCTTTATTAGCTAAGAGATGATTAGTCTTTTTTTTTTTTTTTTTTTTTTTTTTTTAAGTCTTTCTATGTTGCTACTTTAAAATAACTACACAAATTTTTGTTAACAACACTTTGCACATATGGGATCATGTATTTACATAGCATAATGGCTGGTCACTGGAGCACAAGATCATTTCTTTATTTAGTTCATGCTCTACAGTACCGATTTCATTTTAATAAACAGTGTGTGTCCCTGAGCTACGATTAGTATGCGAATTTTCCAAGGTAAACTTTCCTATTTGAGGAGAATCACTTAATAGCTCTCTCCATTTTACTACACATTACCTTCTCTTTTTATGCCACTGCTCTCTCCCTCTACCATGTGACATAAGCAATGGAAAAAAAAAAAAAAAAAAAGATTCCAAGGGATATCAAATGCACTTTGAAAGCTGTTAACTCCTAAATGTGGATACTCACTCAAGTGACTTTGGGACTCAAGAACTTACATAGCCAAAATTTGGCTCTGTATATGCATTAAAAACCAAGTTATAAACACTTAGAAAGGCTATAAAGATTGCTATCTTAAAGTTTCAAAGTCCATCAATACTGAGTCAGTGCAATACTGCCGAGAAGGGGATAGGAAATCAGCAAGTGGCATGAATAGCAACTGGGTGAGGCAAACAAAATGCATATTGGAAGACATGGGGAGTTCAGTCTTTGATGTCAAAGGCAGTCATGTTCGAGGCACTTTATTCGTCTGCCAGATTATCTGACTGCCTGTATGTTGGGTGGTTTGAATACTTGAATGAAGCAGAGCTGACAAGCTATTTTGGTAGGTGTCTGGGGTTGTTACCACCACGAAGAAGTGCAGCATTATCACTGCTGAGTCTCTGATCAACTTGTTGCCTAAACTTTGAGTGATTTGTCATTTCTTTCTAGCATGGAGATGGAGACAATCTTCAAGAGAGTTAGCTGCTTGTCAAAACTGTGACTAATGAACAAAGGAGCCTGAAAAATGACTGAAAGAGGCTCTTCTCCTTGGCAGCTTTACTCCACATCGTGTGACGGTGGTGGCTGTGAGCTGCAGATGTGTCATGTTGTCTTCACTTCCTTTCTTTGCTGTGTAAAAATGAACAAGGACAGAACCAGAACAAAGTAAATGAATGGGATACCCACATTAGGGTAGCATCACATAATCAAACTGCAGGACCAGTGGTTCTGTGTGTGTCTGGAAGCACTCAAGGATGCAAAGAAAAAGGAAAGAGAGACAATTCCACAGGCGGTACATTATCAGCCAATTCCAGCTCACCTGTGAATATCCTGCCCAGGAACCTATGAGGATGTATGGGATCGAAAAGAAAGTTTCCAGTACAGAAGGTCAAAAGGCCCAGTGGTGATATGGTCACATGCATGGAGGTACCCCAGGCAGGCAGGAATGCATCTCTGTGCCACAGTGTAAATGGAAGAGCCTTCATTGGGGACACAACAGCAGCAGGATGGTTTGCTATTTCTCTAAAAATAAAACAAATTATTTCTGAACATAAATAGCTGTAGATTACTTTAGGGTAACTTCATAGCAGAAGAAAACAAATATTTACATGACTTTTATGGCATCATCCTAACTAAAAATTGCACCATGAAGTACTGACTAGATGAGTGCTGTAAGGCAGATGGTTTTGATTTTGGGGCTACCAGTCCATATTTTCTAGACAAATATGGTGTAATAAGAATTGAATCTGACTGAAAAATCTTCTAGGAGAGAGATGGCTAGAGTAGGTACAAAACCAATAAAAATTTTGGTACAAAGAATGAATGAATGAGCTCATTACACACAAAACCACAACAATGGAAAGAAAACTAAGCAAAATATACAGAAATCTTTCATTACTAGACAAAAACAGGTAGAAGTAACAACACAGATAAATTCACTGTATAGTAGACTACTCGTTATTCTGCTAAAAGCCAAGAGATTAACTCTGTTCATGAGATGATGAGTCAGTTTATTTTACAAAATTAATTGAAAATGCCAAGCAACTATTATTAAATACAGGCACTGTAAAACCAGACTGTCAAAGTCCCGTTCCTTTGGTAAGTTTTAAACAAATGCAATTTATTATCATTATTCAATAACTAGCAAATTACTGGATTAGCAGAAGAAACATAGTGTTTTATCAACATTTAAAGGGGATAAGCAGAACAACAAGGTAATTATACAATTATCATCCTGATAGAGATTCCAGGTCAAATAAGGCAATGATTGATATAAAGCTTATCAAGCATAGAACTAAGAAAGCGTAGTTAATGCCAGTCAAACTCAAGTTTATAAAGATCTGATCATTGCCCAACTAACAAGGTCCTTCTTTGTAAGATTGCAGGTTTATTAATAAAAGGTGAAAATAAAAGAAATAAAAATATTTGGGGTCATAGTGCTTCATTTCAAGGAGGAAAGCTAGAAATGCACATGGCAAACAATGGAACGAGCTCTATTATCTATAAAAACTAGTGATTCCACATGGTCAGGCCGGAGATGATCATCCAGACGTATGAAGTATGTGGATCGCCACCACGTGGCAGTCAATTTGAACGAGCACATTGCACAATGCAACAGGAGCAGGAAGGGAACACACACACCGTGGTTATTGTGACCATGGTAGTGAGCGGTAATTTATTAAGCCACTATAAACTGACCATTTACAATGTTTGCCCATATTCATTAGCTCTCTATTTCCCATCTCCCCTTTTCTTTCTAAGATCCGTATAGTTTATCTTTTACACCTGTCCCAGATCAATCATCTCCATTCAGTAAAGTTTTCCTATTTCTTCATTTCCAAATTGTTCATCCTTCAGTGCAGAACACTGCATTTCATGCTCTTAGGTTTTATACAGCCTCTACTATTTATTTGTCAAATGTCATCCACAAATTACCCTGTGATATTGCCACCCTCCTCTTTTTACAATATACATATATACATATATAATATATATAATTTATTTTTTTTTTTAGCCAATTTCATTAGCATACTTCCATTTTTCTCCAGAGGACTAGAGAAAACATCAAATAAGATCTGTTCTTGGATTGATTCTTCAGAAATTCTGTATTTGAGTCTCAGAGTTCCTTGCAGTGCAAATCAAAACAAACTTAAAAGCCTACCAGAAACTACATGGTGAACAAGATTGAAAATGTATTATTCAGGCCAGCAGACAGAGATAAAATTCAATTCTTGGACACTGGTATAGAAAAATATAGTTAAAAATAGAGATATTTTAAAAATAGTGACTAGAATTAACCATGATGCTTTACTGATTGTTTAAAGCTGAGAATTCTCTAATGCAGTCAATATTTCCTAAATGTCATGAGTTAATTTAAACCAGGAAATTTAGTCATGGATGCTGGTCTAGATGATAACAGCATTTTTTCATGTTTTATTTAGAATCCCAGCTTGACTGAAGACAGGAGGAATTCCCAATGGACTGAGAATGCACCTACCCCTCCATATAATGCACGGAGCTCCACAAAGAAGCTCTTTTGCAGTCTGACCTTTAGTTGCCTCTATGTTTTCCATAGAGTTACTTACAACTCACAGTAATTTTTTTATTTTAGATTTGCTTTCTAATATTCCCTCTGATGTTGCATGAAACGATCTAATGGTGTTAACTGCATATTGATCCACACCTATGGTCTTTTGGACTGTCCTAAACAGAAACATCACTAATATATTAATATATTCTTTTTTTTCCTTTTTTTTTTTCTTTTTTTTTCTCTCTATGCAAGTTCATTTTATACATCTGTGTAGAACCCAGTAAATTCTTTGCAGGAAAACTTTTGAAAAGGCTATGACTTCACTTCAGAGTTGTACATGAGCACCACCTTTAATAATTAAACCTTAGGATTTCTGCAGAACACATAATTCTCTGGTAAAATCAGTAACATTCATAAATCAGAACCTGAAGTGTGAAATTGTATGTAAAGTCTCTCATCTATCACCGTTTTACTCTACTTACTGTTTCATGACACAAAGTAATATTTTGTGAGAAATAATGCTTTGCTCTGGACAAGACATGTCATTAGCACACTTAGCTACCTGGTGCTGGGGATGTATCAGAGCCAGCACGTTTTCCCAAAGAACGGACCATGCTGCAGGATGAAATACAAAGCAGAGACATACTGCAGAAAAAATAGTTCAAACACTGAGGAATTTGGATAAAGTAAGCTTTTGGCAGCTTTGCACCACATTTGCTTTAAGGTGCCAAAAGCTCCCTCCAGACGGAGCCAGGTATTAAAGACAACTTGCAGACAACAAAGAGACGATTGCCAGAATCAAGTGTGCAGATACGTATTTCATAAAGAAGTTCCTGTGATACTTCGCATTTATTTTTCTGTTGAACTTTAAAATAGGATAAAAGGGGTTGTGGATACAGGTAGGCAATCCAGCACAGCGAGGACTGCAGCAGAAGACAGAATCCTCCTCGCTTTCTCTTTATTATGAAATAAAAATGGAGCTATGAATCACTGCAGCATAGACAAATCATCTGAGGCATCTTAAAACAGCCGCTTGACTGACTGCTGTAATATCACCTGTCATTCAATAAAAAGAACTGCAGCACATGCTTACAAGTTGATAGAAATGTGCCCAAAGCCAAACTGAAACCCTTGGCTTTGTAAAATGCCACGATTTTAGAAGCTCCTCAATTAAAGCATTTGAAGTCTCCTCAGAGCAGACACAGCAACCTCTGCGAAAGCCAGGTGGGCACCACCATGACTGACTGGGGCAGGCAGAGCAGACAGGGGCTATGGCTAAACAACCACAAATGCATCTGGGAAGGAGCTGGAAAACAGACACAGATCTGCAAGGGCCCTGGGGCACCAGAGAAACTCTGTTCTGAACTGCTGCCAAGCTTAAAAAGTTCCGGTTGGAAACAAAATGGAAAAACAGAAATTTTTTGGCAACATCTGCTCCCCAGGCTTCCCAGCTCACACAGCCGGTGTGGACAAGGCATCAATACCACTCTGGAAGCCCACCTTGAATTTCTGGGCACTCCCTTTCTTGCTTGTACCACTGTCCCAGCAGGAGCAGCATCACTGTAAAGCCCTTCCCACAAACCGTATCTCACGCCTCTGAAAAAGCACAAATTGTGAGAAAAGTCAGGATACTCCAATGCAAACATACTCACTTTTTTTCCTGAGGTCAATGTCTTTATCTTCACAAAGTTGTCTATCTGCAAAAATACAGCTTTTGCCAGAGGAGAACGTGCTGCAGGAAGTTCAGATCACATTACTACTTCTTTCCTTCATCTTAGAGTTTTTACTCTGAAGATTAAAAATCCACAAAAGATTTTTTTTATTTTTTTTTCCCTGTAAGGTTGCCGGTACACACCTCCCAGAGAAATTACACTTAATACAAAAAACAAGAAAACAAGAGATCTTGCCATCAATGCTAGCTCTACGTGTTGCACTTTCTGGGGTTCTGTGATGACAGAAGACAATTTCTATGACAACATTATGAAATTTTTTTTTCAGTTCACTTAAGTAGGTACTCTTTGCCAAATTCAGCAGGTGATACTTGCAACTGTGAAGCCCAATGCATATTGAAGTCAAATGGGATTTTAACTGTACGCAGATTTAGGATGAGATGCTTAAATGATTTTCAGGGTTGCAAGGAACGCTAGCCAAGAAATCTGTAACTCTCTCCTAGTTCATAACTTAGTCAAATATAAGAGACAAAAATACAGGATAGCATTAATTCTTTTTGTATCCAGAAAGACTTCTGGCATATATTTGTGGATGAAGACACCAGACATGGCTCTTCTATTGATTTCAAGGCTTTTACAAATATTCAATTGCGAATTTAGTTGCAAATACTTTTGTGTAAAGGTCCTTTTAGAGGAAGAATATCAGTCTAATCAAACTTGCTAAATAATTTTATCATTTTACACTGGTATTACATGTTTGTCGTCATAGGTTTAATCCTATGAGGCCCAACCCTTTTCTACAATGTGTAGCAGAGCCAGAAAGACTGTATGCAAATAACTGGTTCTTACAGGGAAGACACAATTACGGACCATAACTTGCAAAGCTGCAATATATCTTACAGTAATAGTCACCTTATTAGAAGTTTAAAAATTAAGCAAAAATTTTGGATTACATTTTTTAATAAATAAAATTATTGAATAAATCTATTTTTAGTTTGAAAGACAAAAACTAAACAAAAGAACAGAGAAGGAACCTATGAATCCCCAGTATTCAAGCACTTTACGTTAAAGTATTAAACATTTATACAAAAAACACTCTTTGACAGCAATTTCAAAAATGAGGTCACCATTACCTTAAAAAATGAATTTTTCTGCCCAGCATAGCCAAACCTGAAATCTGTGAAGTTTGCCATCTGTTTCCCATTGAATCACGTGCTGAGTCTAACTTCCAAAGCCTTGGGAGTTTCTTTTGGCAGATGATGCACAGCAGTGGGGGAAAAGCCTTTCTGAATCATTGTCAACAATTACTTTGAATTATGTTC